CTTAACTCTCTGTTCCTTAGTTTGTTCAACTATAAAATGGGGATAATAGTGATATGTATCTCATATAGCATGAGGATTATATGAGAAAACGTACATACTTAAAGCACTTAGACTAGCATCTGGCAATGAGTGCTTGATAAATGATAGCATATATATGTATATATAATATTTATTCAAATATATAAATATATATGGGAAATATATATGTATATATATTCCGGTAAATAGATTTGCAATTCTGGTTAAGAATTTATATGTTTTTTTTTTTACCCTTACTGAGATATATCAGCTATTTTTCACAAGGAGTTTTTCTTTTCACTTATGACAGATAAGAAAATTGAAGGGTATGTCAATTAGATTTCAATAAATTTGGAAAACAAAAAATGCCTGAAGGGCCTGGGTGATGTGTCTTTTTGGGATTTCTCAGTCAGTCAGAGGCAGATAAGAAATCCCTATTCTCAATATCACTCCAGCCCCCAGGTTGGAAATTAATTCCAGATTACTCATCTTGATTTACTTCCCCCCAGATACTAAAAAAAAAATCCCTTTAGGCTTCCATCAAGTCCAGGCCCGTCTGACCACCTCATGGGGCAGGCCAAGCAGGTTTCTGCCCTTCCACTCTACTACACAGATGTACATGGATTGGCATATGGATTGGGCTGCCAATCCTCTGGCAAACGCTAAACTGCCCTCTGGGGTAGCTGGATCCTGACCTTCTGGTCCTGGGTCTGAGTTGACTTCCTTTGTCCTACTGGAACATTCTGTCCTGGGCAGGTGCTAACACCAGCTTCGGGCCTCTAGCCCATGCTTCCTTCTGCTGCTGCTTCTGTGGATGGACTCCTGTGGGGCATTGCTCCCCTTTGGGATGCTGCTGGGAGCCAATGCAGCTTTCCTGCTTCCTTTACCACAGGCCCTAAGCCTTCTCCCCCTGCCTAGGACACAGTTCCCTTATTACTTCCTCTGCCATGCTTTTTTCTTGTTGCCTTAAGGAAGAACTTTGTACTTTGGTTTCTCTTGCTTTTCCTCTGGTTGGCTGTGTGATGCTTTCTCCCAGATGGTCCACCTCTGGGATAAGCCACAGAGCACCCTGAATGAAAACCTCTCTTGGACAGCATTCTAAATACTCAATGTACCAAACCCAGGCCTTGCTGTCCCAGAAATGTAACCGGGACTCTGGCAGGTTCTGGAATGAGTTAGTTGCTTTCCTTAATGGCTTTGGTTGCTCAGTGCATTTTCTGTTTAGCTTCGCTGGTCATGTCCCCTCTCAATTTAAAACCCTTCAATGGCTTCCTAGTGCACTTGGACTAAAATCCAAACTAAAATCCAACTGACCTCCAAAGGCCCCTGCTTGCTTCTCCTACTTCCTCCTACACTATTCTCTCTGCTCAGTCACACTGGGTTCCTTCCTGTTCCTCAAACCTACCAAGCTCTTTCCTACCCCTGGGCTTGCTGTTCCCCCTGCTTGGAACATGCTTCCTCATCTTCCGCATGGCTGATGTCCTCATCCATTCGGGTGCACCTTCCTCAAAGAGGCCTTGTGTGACTACTCTCTCCAAAGACACAATCAATGGCCTCTGTCCAGTTACTCTTTACCATAACCCCCTGCTTCCTTCCTTCACAGAGTTTATTACATCATGCAACTATCCTGTTATTTCTTTGCATGTCTATTGTCTGTCTCCTCTTTCTCCACCTCAGGCAAATGACACTCTGTGAGGGCAAGGACCTTGCCCGTTTTATTCACCATTATATCCTTACCACCTACTGTGTGGCAGGCACTGTTCTAGGCACCATGGATCTAAATCCATGCTCTCGTGGAGCTTATATTCTAGTGGGGGAGACAGATAAAAGCCATCTTAAACAAATGAATGATATAATTTTTAGTATTGATGAGTACTTTAATAAATAAAGCAGTGTAAGGGGATAGAATGTGTCTCAGGGAATGTGGAGGGGTGGTGGTTGTTAGATAAGGGTGATCAGGGATGGCCTCTCTGGAGGGGTGACGATGAAAGAGAGAACAGATTGCTGTGACAGAGCAGACCTTTGGGGGAACAGCAAGTGTAAGGGTCTCAAGGGAGCAGGCAGATTGGCAGGTTGAGGAATAAAAAGGAAGCTGGTGTGACTAGAGTGGTGTGAGCTGGGGGAGATGGGTGGGAAACAAAGGCTAGAGACAGAGGGAGTGGTAACAGCCATGGGCAGAAGGGAGGGTTGGGTAAAGAGTTTGTATGTTCTTCTAAGTGTGATGGGACACATCTGTACAGCACTATTCAGTTTCCAAAGCACAAACACCATCTCACTTGATTCTCACAAGAACCTCTGAGGTAAGTAGGACAGATTATAGTTCATATCTTTTATCAAGAAGGAAACCACCATTTTATTAAGACGAAAATGAAAGCTCTGCTAAGGGAGAAAACTTGCTTTAAGTCACACAGTTCAGACAAGATTCTGTGAATCAGTAGTGTTTAACCTTGGCTGTGCATGGAAATCCTCTGGGGAGCTCTGCAAAATCCTTCTATCTGGGTTCTGTCCCTGGAAAATGGATTTAAGAGCTCCAGGGTGTGTCCCAGGAGGATTGTTAAAACTTTCCAGGTGATTCTGCGGGGGCTAGAACTCTACACTGCTCTCAATCTACCCACCTTTCACTATGTGAACTGCCTTCTTGACAGAGCCTTTCCACTAAACTGCCCATTAAAATCACCAAGGCAACTTTCTAAGAATTACAGAGGCCCAGACTCCAAAATCAGAATTTCTGGGGCTGGGGCTCAGGCACTAGCTTGTTTAAAAGCGCCTCACTCGCCTATCTGCTTTGGAGTTTCCCACATATATTTTTAAATTTTTTCTATCTGCTGTTGTCTCCTTTCTTGTTTCTTTTGGGGTTTATGCCTTTTTTATTCCTTTCCTGTCATTTCCATGGGATTTTAGGCAGGCATGGATTTAAATGGGTATACTAAACATACCATGTTGAACTGGAAACCTGCTAAATTAAAAATGAAAAAATTTTAAACAATTAAATTTTAATTATAAAAGTTATACATACATTCACTGTAAAATATTCAAATATTACAAAAGGGTACAGTATAAACTGAAAGTACTCCAGCCGCACCTCCCCCATTCCCATTCCTCAGGGTTAGCTACTAGCCTGCTGGTAACAATTTCGTAGTTACAGTTAACGTCCAATTAGAGTAACCACATTAAGTTTTTAATATATTTTCTCTCTCTGTGGTTTAAAATTTTCCATTTTAATTTAAATGTCTTTATGTCTTTTACTATATTCTTCATCTTTATGCTTTTTTTATATGAACTTTCCTATGCCTGGTCTGCTCCCCAACACCCTTCTCCCAGGGAGCCCCTGTTCAACCTTTGATTCTCAGCCTATAAGTCATGTCTGAGTTTACAAAGCATTTCAAAATCTCCTGGGCAAAATTAATGCTCCCTTCTTTATGTTCCTATACCACTTTGTTCATACCTATATTCTAACAGTAATCACACCATTAGGAAATTATTCCTTAAAAAAAATAATTTAATTAATTAATTTATTTTTGGCTGCATTGGGTCTTCATTGCTGTGCACGGGCTTTCTCTAGTTGTGGAGAGCGGGGGCTACTCTTCCCTGTGGTGCTCGGGCTTCTCGTTGCAGTGGCTTCTCTTGTTGTGGAGCATGGGCTCTAGGTGCATGGGCTTCCGTAGTTGTGGCACATGGGCTCAGCAGTTGTGGTGCATGGGCTTTTAGTTGCTCCGCAGCACGTGGGATCTTCTTGGACCAGGGCTCGAACCTGTGTCCCCTGCATTGGTAGGTGGATTCTTAACCGCTGCACCACCAGGGAAGCCCAGAAGTTATTCCTTTTTTTTAAATCTTAACACTTATACATTGCAAACTCGAGGTGGTAGCAGCTGTATTATGCAACTCTATAATACTGCTAGCTCTGTACTGTAGCCCTGTACTGCAAGTGTCTTCTCCCAGTTAGTGGCTTGTCTTTTTCTTCATGCCTTTTGATGAGGAAGTTCTTAACTTTAACGTAATCCAAATTTATCAAAGTTTTCTATACCGTTTTTCTGATGTCACTTAATAAACCCTTCCCTGAGATAGTAGGAAATTTTCCTTCAAAAGTTGATTTTACTTTTTCCTTTAAAATTCTTTAATCTATTTGGAATTAATTTTTTGTGTTAGGGGCCCAACAGAGAACCAGTTGGTTCAGCTCATATGCCAGCTCTGTCATATATCAAGATTCCACATGTGCCTGGATTGTTTTTGGGCTCTCTAGCCTGTTTTATTTTCCCTCTCTGCCTATCCCTATACTAATATCCCATAGTCTTAATTTTTATAGCTTCATAATAAATGATATATGTAAGGATAAGTCCTTGAAACATGTTACTCTTCTTCAAGAGTGTTTAGGCTACGCTTTGTCCTTTGTTTTTCCGTGTAAATTTTAGCTTAGTTTGTAAACGTCCAGAGAAAATCCTCTTGGAAAATTTATTAGGATTGCATTGAATTGATAGATGAATCTTCCACCCCATCTCTGTTCCCCCTCGAAGCAGCTCAAGAGATGTTCGTAGAAGGAATGAAGGTCTGATGATTGTCTCCAAAGTACATCTTATAAACAAACATTCAGTAAATAGAGGTCAATGAATGAATGGGGGATAAAATGACTAAGATCGATCAGCACTTTCTTACTATTCAGCAACTGTCAGTAAAATTCTTCTTTGCCTGTTGTCATACACAAACCCACGACTCCATCCTCCTACTGAACATAAATCTATGATCAATTTGGATAGCTTCTTGAAGATAAGTTTTCAGGAAGGCTCCTGGCCGCAGCGCAGGCAAAGAAACAGGCTATCTGACAGGTCAAGTGTCTGTGACCCCTCTGCCTCCCTAGGTGGAGCGGTCCAGGGCGACCGCGGTTGTTCTTCGGCCCTTGTCCCCGCGGCTTAGGGAAACCAAGAAGAACTACAACTCCCGGCAGGCCGCGCGGCGCCCCGGCTTCACTAAGAGCAATCCGGAGGTGGCGGCAAGCAAAGTTGCCCGCGAACTCCCGCCACCAGGCTGCGGCTGGAAGCCAGGCGCCGCGTTTCTGTTTCCCCCGGGGTGAGTAGGGGCAGCTCCTCGGAGGCCCGCGCAAAGCCCGGGCTGCCACGGCCGCGGGGCGCGGGTAAGCTAGTATGGACGCGTCCGGCGCCCGCCTCTGCTGGGGCCTGCAGCCGGGAGGGAACCCTGGGCCGGTGACCTTATCATCCGGGGCCCGGCGCGCGGCCACGTGACTCGGGTGACTGGCAGTGCCCCATCACCTCTGCGGCGACTCTCCAGCCTGGCTCACCAGTGGGCGGAAGTGTGGCGCAGTCCTTCGTGTAGGTAGAGCTAGAGCTGGAGCTGGAGGGAGGTAGCAGGTGGCTCACCCAGACCTCCTCAGCCTTGGTCGTCTGTGGGCTCCTAGGCGCAGGCGTCCGGGGCTGGAGCGCAGGCTGGATCAGAGCAGGGGCGCGCAGATATCCTTGCCCTCCGCAGGGGCCTGCACGACCCCGGAGCGCGCCGTATCTGTAGCACTTGGTGGGGCCCTGAGCTTCCGGATCGCACAGTAAACGTGTGCTGATGACAGCGCTGTATGGAGAGCAGCCTTTAGAAGACGCCTAGTACAGCTCTCTCCCCAGGTTAAGTGGCATTTCCTTTCTACTTAACTATGAAGTCATTCGATTCAACAAGTACTTATTGATCACCTCCATGATTCTTGGCACTTAGTGGCTGCTCAGGAAATATTTGCGGAGTTGAAAGTGAATTAGACTTTATCTGTGCCTTCACACGTTTTCTTTAAGCAGTAGTTCTCAAACTTTACCGTGCATCAGAATCACCTGGAGGGCTTGTTACAACACGGAAACCTGGACCCCATCCCCCAAGTTTCTGATTCAGTAGGTCTGGGGTGGGGAGCGAGCATTTGCATTTCTAACATGCTCCTAGGATATACGGATGCTGCTGGTCTGGGAACATACTTTGGAATATCACTGTTTTGTAGGAAAAATTCCTGTGAACTTAAAGCACCAACTCATCACTCCTGGTCCTGGGCCATTCTGTTCTGGCTTGCCAGTTTAACTTTGGTAGCGATAGTAAGCATGTACGTATTACTTTGTTCACTGTTCACATTATATACAGATTTTCATGTAGTCTACACTTGTGTCAGTTTTCCTGGGTTACATCATATTGTATCTTTGGCCATTTCTCAGCAGCCTTCAGGATGTAAACTTTGACCTCTGCTGGGAGAGTTTACATTTTTTCCCTTTCTGATATACACTTATTTTCTTGTCACACAAGGGACCTGTAAGACAAGAATAGTGCTAGGTTCATGCATTCCCCCCC